AGGAACTTACAGTGCATTGTAGATATCACAAGCTTCACAAGCATTTGACCGTGGCCATGGCCCAAGAAAGAAGCAAATATGGATGAACATTTCCAACGAATTTTGTCTTACTTAAACTTGGTGAAAAAGAACTATCCATTTATAATTTGGAAGCAATTTCGCACAAGATTCCTTTCAACTACCCAAAACTTGGCTTTGCCTTAAGAAACTGCTAAACTACGCATGCGGATTGGGCCACGTGAGCTAGTTGTCTGACTTAAAGATGAGTAAGCACTAGCATCAGCCATTCTTAAGTGTTGTCATGAGATTTGACATACTTTCCAAGAAGTTGATTGTACCATCCGTAGAAGGGCATGTTCTCAGCCATGCTCTCAGCCTCACGCCACTCCGCGGGCAGGAGGAGATGCAACGAACCCACCTGCTCCTTCACTCGTGTCCTCGCCACTGCAGCAGCAAAGTGAACCGACATGTCAATCACTGCCTGCTCCACTGCCTATATAGATGAAGCGAGTAAACGAGCAAGATGGAATAACTGTGTAGGTGATTAGACCGACTGGGTAGCAAAAGACACGTGACAGCACCTGAAAAGCCTCCAAGGTGGGTGGGTAGATGATTGTGCGTCCGGCGAACCTCGGGGACTTGGTATCAACCTCGTCCACTGTCACTGCTTCCACTTCTGCATCTGTCGAAGTACGACGCTGGTAGCTGCGTGCAGTGTAGTCGTAGAGCGTCACTAGCACAAGATACTCCTCCTCCCGTAGGTCTGGGTACTCTCCGTAGAACCCTACTTCATCCACTATCTTATCTAGAATGTTGTAATCTAGTGAACACAAATAAATAAAAAAAAACTTGCGATAACGCAGTGCTCATTATTGGTACTTCAATATGAAATGAGGATGCGTCATAAACTTCTACTAGTAAAAATGAGTAGATCCCAAACTCGCCCTGCTGCAAAGTGCCTCTAAAAATGTCGGTTGTACGAGATTTGTTTCTGCCTTTTTTCCTCTCAACTCTACCCTCGGTCAAATTGCTATTGGCTTTCGTGCTATGAAAGCACTTTTAGCATTGTTTAGGCGTCATCTCACCTAAGGCACTTTAAATCGAGCTGAGCCT